CACATATATATATATATATATATATATATATATATATATACTAATCAACATTTGAAGTGGATCAAAACCTTTCATCAAAGTTGTCCTAAAACCAAAATGCATTCTTGTCTTAGGACAACGTTGATTAACTTTTTTTGATCCACTTCAAATGTTGACTACTATATATGTGTATATATATATATATATATCAGTCTGGCGAGTAAACTAAAAAATGTACTAGCCAATGGCGATTCAATTGCCAAGGTGTCCGTAGAGGGTTGATGCTAAGCTAAGCTAAAAGTGCTACCGCCAGACCCGGAGATCGGCTGAATGGATTCGAAAACGGTAAAACTCAACTGTTTAACTCTAAGGGAGTTGGAAAATGAGCCTATTTTCAAAAATAGTGGAGTGTTCCTTTAAACTGTCTTGACAAGCCATACAGATTTGAGTTTTTGTGCAAGTTGTTTATTGCAAAAACGACTGCTATTGTGCAATGTACTGATACTTTTGATGTTAATAAAAGCAGCCATGGTTTGATTCTCGTGGACTCTGGTTTTACAGGCTGCAGCAGAGGAGCTCTGTCTTCTACTCAGTCAAGTCTTCCAGATCGTCTATACAGAGTCCACCATTGACTTCCTGGACAGGGCCATCTTTGATGGAGCCACAACACCCATCAGGCATCTCTCGATCTGCAGTGGTGAGTAGGCAACAGCTTCATCATTTTGGGATTTCCCAGTAAATTTGTACTTGTCCAAAACCACAGACCACAGTCAGTTTCACATCACTAATTCATCTGGGGTGGTTTGTTGGAATCCTATTTATGTTTCCTGAAGCTTAGTCTCTTAATATCACACTGAGCTTGCAGCAAAATGAAATATTTCTAAATACTTTCCTTATTTTTCCAATAAAAGAAGACTCCTCGAGCAAAGTTGATGTCAAAGAAGTGTTTGAGGCTGAGACAAGCACATTGTGAGTATTGCTTCAACTGTCTTCTGCAGTAATGTGCCATTTTATCTGTTGAATTGAGCGATCATTGTGTTTTTGTCCAATCTCAGTTCGTTCCAAAGTTCTCTAGAGGCAGGACACTCCTCTAGCCCCTCCCCCTCCTCCACCCCGGCCTCACCACAAACCATAACAGCCAGTGAGAGTGAACTAAGCACAACAGCTGCTGAACTGCTACAAGACTACATGACCACAGTGAGTGTTTGAGTGCAGTGTATAAAAAGGCATTTGGATGTCTGTTGTTAGTTTCTCTTTCTTCTGAGTCTGTAATTAGTTTTTGCATATTAAATGATCCCATCATGCATTTCATTTCAGTTTTTACACTGTTTTCCTGTCATCCTCTGCAATAGTTGAGGACAAAGCTGTCGTCTCAGGAGATCCAGCAGTTTGCCACACTGTTACGTGAGTACAGAAACGGAGCCTCCATCCATGAGTTCTGTATCAACCTGCGTCAGCTTTACGGAGACAGCAGGAAGTTCCTCCTCCTGGGTTAGTTACATGTTGGGGTGTTAAATTTGTCTTGAACATAGCTATTTTTTGTGCTAACTGACTTTATATGCAAAACTTTAACATTAATGTATGCAGAGTTGTTATTTTTAACTAGAACTATTAATTACATTTAATGCTTTCATTGCTTTCATTAATTGAAATAAAGCTGAAATAAAATATTAATATTAGATGAAAAAAATAAATAAATAACCGAAATAAAAATAAATTAAAGGTGTCATGAACTGCATTTTTTTTTACATTTTATAATGTTCTCTGAGGTTCACTTATAATGTTTATAAAAACAAAACAAAACATAATTTAGAAGTAATAGGCTATTTTCTATCCTATTTTTGAGCCTCTCTGCAGAACAGTCTGTTTTTATAGGCGAGGCGCATTCAAGACTCGCATGTAAACGCCTACTGCTGTGATTGGCTAACAGTCTCACTTATTAAAATAACAGATAGACGCTGCTGTGACGTACTCTGAAAACAACATTTTGGTTAAAAATGTATAAATACTCAGTATATATCAGAATAAACTGATGTCCCGCTCTATTTCTGACATACAAGCATTTGCGCCGCTTCTGACCTGAAAGAGAAATTGATTCGCGACATGACTCAACAGCGCTTGTGTCCGATCTAGATATGTTAGGACCACAAGGAAGATAATTCAAATACTATTTTTCATAACTTACACTACACAGTGTCTTGTAATCTTGTTGTCATCTGTATGGTTCTGTTGATGGAGTAATCCAGTGTTTGCGTCTCTCTAGTATTTCCTCTCCTCCTACTACAAGCGTGTATCAGTGGGCGGGGCTAAACAGGTAGTGATGTAGAAGCAGGCGTTGATCTTCTCCTGTGGAGGCGGTTCTTAGCCACACTATTATGTCGTAAAGTGGCACATTCCAAAATGAGTCGTTTTCTGAGCTTGGTTTCAATAAAAGCTGTTTTTAAACTAACGAAAGTTTTTAAACTTACAGGAGGTTTTTATAGTACATTGACACCTAGGGCTGCACGATTATGACAAAAATCATAATTGTCGATTATTCACTTGAAATTGTAATTGCGATTATTAATTACGATTATCATTTACATTGAATGATGTTTATACCATTGTTTGATGCAACTGCATGCCGTATTTTTATATGAAAATAAACAAGCTGAAAACACTAACTGAAAAACCTTTAGTGCTTTTCTATAGTATTAAGCCTCAAATGTCAAATATACATCGGATTGGTTTCTTCTTTAAATTATAAAAAAAGTAAAAATATGAATGGTATTATAATGTTATACTAACACTAAAATTAAAACAATGGAAAAACCCTTAAGATAACACGTAGAAAAAAAAACATCTTAAGCGTGTAGAATAACATTTAAATTTAAATGTATGCATTTAGCAGACGGTTTTATCCAAAGCGACTTACAGTGCATTCAGGCTATACAGTTTTTATCAGTATTTGTGTTCCCTGGGAATTGAACCCACGACCTTTGCGCTGCTAACGCAATGCTCTACCAC